GCACTCAGCAGAAGTCTGCTTGGGATACTCTCTCCCTCTCCCTCTGCCCCTCCCCCTGCTCGTTCTCTCTCTCTCTCTCTCTCTCTCTCTCAAATAAATAAATAAATAAATAAATAAATCTTAAGAAAATTAAATGAAGTACATATAATAAAGTCCTCCATCTCTGTGCTTTGATTGGTCTATGACACATTTTAACAAACATTAACATCCTCCCTCACCCTCCTTTTCGTCAAGGAAAGTCAGGAGACACCCTCTCCCTTCAGTCCTAGCGCTGAGGGCCAGCCCTTCCCCATAGTGGAACCTCACTGCATATAGACATGAGCCACCGCTTCTCCTTCTCCTCCCCTGGCATGAAAGGACGGAGACAACACTGGGAGGATGCCAGGTCATAGGGAAACTGGACCTAAAGAGAGGAGAGACCCCAGGGGAGAGAGTCAGAGAAGGAAAGTGGGAAAGAAGAAGAGGCGGGAAGGGGGAGGAAGGGGGACAGGGAACAGGGAAATGACAAGACCGGGGAAACAGAGGGATAATGAAAGGGAAAGTAAAAGCTGCAAGTGGAAGAGGTAAGAAAGGGAAGCAGGGCCGCCTGGGGGGCTCAGTCGGTTAAGCGGCTGCCTTCCACTCAGGTCATGGTCCCAGGGTCGTAATCCCCGCTCAGCGGGGAGTCTGCTTGTCCCTCCCCCAAACTGGTGCTCGCTCTCTCTCTCTCTGTCTCTCTCAAATGAATAAATAAAATCTTTAAAAAAAAAAAAAAAGGAAAGAAGTAGGAGAAGCAAAGGAGAAAGGAAGGGTTCCAGAAACCTTCCCCACATTCCTCCACTGGGACCACATGATCTCAAGGTTGTGGGATCAAGCCCAGCAGCAGGCTCTGCTCAGTGTGGAGTCTGCTAGAGATTTTCTCTCTCACCCTCCCCCTCTGCTCCTCCCTCCTCTGCTCCTCTCCCTGCTCACGCTCTCTCTCTCTCCCTCAAATAAATAAATACCATCTCTAAAAGAAAAAGTTTCAGTTATTAATTGGACTTCAGCTCAATATTGCATGGTAAGTCCATGCTTTGAGATACCCTACCTACAGCATGCACACAGGAATAATTGAAAAAAATGCAAAAGGGAAAATGTAAAAGGCATAGAATAGCTCAAAAACAATATAAATATCTCCATGGGCCACAAATATAAGGAAACTAATCATAAAAGCTGTGAATAGGTCTGAAGCCAAAGGCCTGCTCGATTCCAGGCTGAAGCAAGAGGAGAGGCAGTTCTGAGCTCAGCTCCTGCAGGGTCACGGAGACTAAAAGTTCTCCACCTGAAGCAGGAACTAGAGCCAAAGGCACTCCAGAAGGGAAGGGCTGAGAACAAGGTCTCTTTTCATTAAAGAGAAATGAAAAAAAAAAACTGCTGCCTGCTACCATCTGAGGCCAAAGTTTATCCAGAGCACACGTAAGGAGGTAAGAGAGCATGGAGTTTCGTGACCAGGAACTGAGAGGGCATACGTGCGGCCTCCCACTCAAAATGAGGCTGAGATCCAACATTATAAAATACTTGGGAAAAAACTAACTCTACAAAAGATAGCCCAAAAAATCACCAATTGGAAGATAAATTTACACTAGAGAATATTAAAATATTAAGAGTCCGAGAGAAAGACAAACACCATATGATTTCACTTATATGTGGAATCTAAAAAACAAAGCAAATGAGCAAACAAAAAAAGCCAAAACCAACCCATAAATACAGAGAACAAACTGATGGTTACCAGAGGGGAGACGAGTGGGGGGATGGGCAACGTGGATGAAGGGGAGGGGAGATCCAGGCTTCCAGTTATGGAATGAATACTTCAGGAGGATGAAAGGCACAGCATAAGGAATATAGTCAATGGTGTGGGGTTTTGTTGTTGCTCTTGTTTTTGTTTTTTCTCCAAGTTTTTATTTAAATTCCAGTAAGTTAACATAGTGTAATATTGGTTTCAGGAGTAGAATTTAGTGATTCATCACTTACATATGACAACTGGTGCTCATCACAAGTGCCTTCCTTAATCCCCATCACCCACTGAACACCCCCCCACCTCCCCTCCAGCAACGCTGTTCGTAATAGTTAAGAGTCTGATTTTTGGTTTGCCTCTCTTTTTGCCCCGCTATGTTCATCTGCTTTGCTTCTTAAATTCCACATATGAGTGAATACAGTCAATGGTGTTGTAATAATGTTGCCTGGTGACAGATGGCAGCCACACTTGGGGTGAGAACAGCATAATGCATGGACTCGTAGAATCACTGTGTTGTACACTTGAAACTAATGTAACAATGTGTGTCAGCTATAGTTCAAGCTTTAAAAAATATATTAATATTTAATACAGAAGAGAAAATCGTGAGACATCTGGGCAGAATTAAAACAAGTGCAGATAGGGTCACCTGGGTGGCTCAGTCAGCTAAGCATCTGCCTTCAGCTTAGGTCATGATCCCGGAGTCTTGGGATGGAGCCCCATATCGAGCCCCATATCAAGTCCCATATCGGGCTCCCTGCTCAGTGGGGAGTCTGCTTCTCTCTCTCCCTCTGCCCCTCCCCCTGCTCATGCTCACGCACTCTCTCTCACAAATAAATAAAATCTTAAAAAAAAAAGCACAGATAGATATGTAAAAGAATAAACTGGAAAATTGGAAAAGAAAAATATAGTCATTGAAATATCTGAAGACTCAATAGATGGAATAAACTCTAGACATAACAGAGGTGAAGAGAGAATTCGCGAACTTCAAGATAATGTTGAACACTTCACCCGGAGTGTACCACAGAGAGGCAAAGAGATAAAAATACCAAAGATAGTACAAAGTTCTAGAGTTTAAATGGAGAAGTTCCAACATTTGCTGATAGGAGTTCCAGGAAAAGCAGAATAGAGAAACTGAGGGGAAGAGTAACTTGAACAGATGGTGAGAATTTTCCAGAATTGAAAAGAGATATAAATTCTCATTAGAATATATTTAAAATACCAAACAAAATAAATAAAATACAAATCCACACTTGGACACACCAAAGTGAAACTGCAGGATATTATGGATAAAGAAGAAGGTACATACAATTACGTTCAGCATTTTCTGAATAACAACAATTGGAAACAGTCTAAATATCCATCAACAGAAGAATCACTACAAAAGAGTGGCAAAACAATGAAATACTGTAGAGTAGTTAATGTGAATAACAACAGCAGCAAGTATCAGCATGAATAAACCTCGAAAACAAGTTGAATGAAAAATGCAAGGTACAGAAAAATATGCACATTATTAAGCCATTCGTTTGAAGTTTAAAACCACATAAAACAATACATTTATTGTTTGTGGGTGCATACATGTGTAATGAAGACATGAAAACCTACATAGATGAAAACCAAATAGGAATAATACCCACAAATTCAGAATCCTCACCACCTCTCTAATAATCGCTTTAAGTTGAGGCTATTTATTCTCCCCAACCCAGGTATATCTGAATCTAGAAGTAACCAATCTCACTGCTGGCACTTTGAAACCATCATGAACCCCTCCTTCTTTAAAGTCTCTTATATCTTTGAGGCTTATGTATTCTGGCCATACACCTACCACCTCCCTTGGGTTATTCTCCCCCATTCCTTGAGAACACTGACATTTCATAGAATTTCTCTCCATCTCAAGATCTACTCCTACTCTGAGTGATTCAGACATCCATATGAGTGTCCTGTCCAATGCCTCGCCTCCCCAACCCAAGAAGCAGCTCCTCCGATCCCCCATCACTTACCCATCCTTACGGGCCCATCCTGGATCTCGCCATCACTCAGAACTGCTTCACCTCTAAAACCATGAACTCAGGTATGCACTTCTCTCACCAACCTCTTGTTCTTTCAGATCACTTGTTCACTTGCTCCCAGTACTCCTATTTGGATTCCACTGAAACTGTCAGTCCACTGACAGACATTTCTACTGTATCTCTATGTAATAATCTCCTTCTATCTTCCTTTCCTTCCTTACCCAGGTAAGACTCCATAGTCCAAAATCTACACCACTTTTGCCAAAATCTTCCATTATCTTGCCTTATTATCTTTCTGTCCACTTGCCTGGAAAAAAAAAAAAACTAACCCAAATGCATATTCTCATAGGTGTCTTTAAAGTAAAGATCAACCCCCTTAACATGACTTGGCTCCTGAACGCCTCTGAACATAGACATGGAATTAATCTAATCAGTGAAAGCCTGAGTAGATGGATAGCCAGACCAATTAGCTACCCTGAGTGAATATTATAAATAAGTTATGCCTAGTATCCCTTCCTTTATGTCTCCAAGTCAACATCATATAACGCCCTTTAACAGCAAAGCCTTGCCGGTTACTTTAAGACCTACAGAAGCCCCCTTCTAGCACTACCTCTATTATTACTCTTGTGTGTCTTCTTAGAAAATGTTGATCTAGTGATAACTCTTCCTTCACAATGCCTATCCACCGAACTGAAATCAAGACCTTGTGCTCTAATAATTACCAGCGTTTTCTAACCATATATATCCCCTGTTAGTTCTGTTTCACTGGAGAACCCTGACTAATACAAGATGCTTGATGATCACTGATCACACAGATATTAGAGAGAATTCAATACAGTTGGGGTTTTAGATCTGATGACTTCTTGCAGACACAGAGATATTATGAACTTAGGCTCTAGTGGTCTTCTATTCAACCAATGGTTTACTGATTGCAGATGCCCGAAGATCCTCAATTTCTCCAAACTCAGTGATGCTCATCACAGGTCCCCCACTAGACCAAGTAGTAAAATACCTTCAGCCAAGCACAGATAATAAGCCAAAGTTCAGCAAAGCACACAGGGACAACCCCCGCTGGAGACATTCCAACAAAAGTACAAAGCTTGAAAATCATGCTTCTCTCTCCTACCAACTCCCTTCTCTCCCCCATTTCCCTCCTCCATGCATTTGCCCAAATCCAGGACCCACCCCCACCAAAATGAGACTTTATTCCTGGTATTATTCTTGGTTACATTCCCTTCCCTGAAGGGGAACTGACTGGACCAGTTTCAGGAACTGGCCTTGGACAGCCATGTCCTTCCTGGCGTAGATGCCAGCATTATTGCCCAATCATAGATAACTTTGTGCCCGGAGGGTATAAGAGAAAACAGCATCCTGGACATAGCAGACTCAGGTCCCACCAGCTACAGAAATGAGGTCTGTTCTGATCATCACCCTCGTCAGCTGCTTCTGTGCAGCATATGAGGCCAAAGTCTTCTCCAAGTGTGAGCTGGCCCGCAAGCTAAAGACCAAGGGAATGGATGGCTACCATGGCTACAGCCTGGCAAACTGTGAGTGTGAACGTTCTTTCTGTCTCTGCCCGAAGAGACCTTCTTCCCCAGCCAAGCAATCTCTCCCTTTTCACTTCCTGATTTACTCATTTGTCAGGGTTCTCTTCCACTCCCCGACTGCTCTTCTTATCTCTGCCTCCACTGCCTTATATTCCTACTAGGATCTCCTTTTCTCTCTTTCCACCAGGGATTATTTTATCTATAATAAATTTTCTCTTGCTGTTCCCCCAAATCACCTCCCCACCCAGCGGCCTGGAATACTTCCTCAGAAACACCCCGAGACTCGCCCAACATCTCTCCATCTTGCTCCCATCACCTTTGCTTTCATCTGCATTCTTTTTAGTCTCTGCCGCACAGTTGGTATTGCCTCCCACCCTCTCCCCTGCCCTTCTGTCCACCAAAAAATAACCTACATCTGCTGCATTTGTCTAAAGTTTGTTCTATCCATGTCACAAGGGAGTTGGATGGGGACTGTGAGAACAGAAGGGGAGGCAGTGAGTGACAAGGTGCAAGAAGGACTGAGAATCTCTGTCGCCTGCCTCATTAGTAAGAAGAACACATGAAGCTATTTCAATTTCCCTTGAATATCTTCATTTTTCTTCACACCAAATATACTCTTTCTCATCACCCCCCCCAAGGATGGCTTTTTAGGGCTTCCTTTCTAGGATCCTCCTCCATTACTTCTCCACCTCTTCTCTTCCACATACTTTGGGATATAAGCCAATGGGAATATACAAGGCAAGAGTTGGCTATTCAGCTGGGAGATGAGGCTGGAAAGGTAGACTGGGAGACAGACGGCAATTGATGGATTATTGGCCTTTCCAAACGCATTTATTTAAAAATTGTAATTACATACTTACCATGGGCTGATTATTGCTTGGGACTAGGAGCACACAATGGATTATAAATACAAACCTAACACAGAGGATCTCATAGTCTTCTCATTTCAGTCTCAAGGGACTTTCTGGCGGTTCTAGTGTAGCAGGAGTTCGGTCTCATCGTGAAACAATCCCCCTTTTCGACCCACACCTTTTGCTCTGACACAGGGGTCTGCATGGCTCAGTATGAGAGTAAATTCAACACCCGGGCCTTTAATGGGAGAAATACCAATGGCAGTAAAGACTATGGGATCTTCCAGCTGAACAGCCGGTGGTGGTGCAAAAACAGCAACCAGCCCTCAGCAAACGCCTGCAGCAAAATGTGCAACGGTAAGGACTCGGTCCCCTCTGCGGGCTGGGGCAGGTGGGGCACATAAAACAGGTACTCCCCTAACAGCTGGCCCTCGGCCTGTGCTGGAGAAGCCCAGGACAGGGGATCAAGGGGCCCCAGACAGTCCTCACATCCAAAATCAGAGGAAGCAAGATACACTGACCCCTGACTAAGCCTCGCCTTCATGGGTCCCCATCCCTCAAGCCATGTTATCCCTCTCCTCGTCCACACGCAGCCACATCAGCAGCCCACACACCCCCACGCAGCATGTCTCCTGAGGACAAAGGCTCTCCCTGTCCCTCCGGTCCTGGATGCCCTCTGGAGGGAACAATGCTCAGAGGCGGATTCAAAACAAGGCAGGAAAATCCAGGCAAATGGAAGGCAAACCCACAAAAGGGCTCCAGAGAGAGAGGGTTTCTGATTCAGGCTTAGTTTCCTCTGGAAATTCCCCTCAAAAAAGTATTGATCAATGAAACAGGAAAAGAGATTTTTCCCTCCCCACTCAGCCCCTTTTCCTTTCAGAGTTTCTGGATGACAACATCGATGATGACATCACGTGTGCCAAGAGGGTTGTGAGAGATCCTAATGGGATGTCCGCCTGGTAAGCAGAGCATGAAGGGCAGAGACCAGCTGTTCTGCCGGGCATGGACCCTGACAGTATTTGGGATGCCGATAGAATCAGCAGCATCTCTGCTGTAGGATTCTCCCTGGGCTTTGTACGGAGTGGAGACGGTACCCCCGACATGAACAGAGGCAGAGTAATACTGTGATGCGCTCACCCCGGGCGTCCCTGCAGCACCGACTCACGGGTTCTCGGACGGGCGAACCCTCCCTATCTGAGACTCTCCCACAGCACAAACTGACTAGGGTCTCCAGCCTGCAGACCCTACATTCCCTCCCAGCTGAGCCCCTGTAGACTCCTGCCCCTGCCTCTGATTTATGCTGTGTTTCTCTATTCATAGGGTGGCCTGGGTAAAACACTGCAAGGGCAGGAATTTGTCCAGGTACCTGGCTGGCTGTAACCTGTGAGACGGTCATTGAATATGGCTCCTGGAGAAGGTGGCCCAGAAGGCAGAGTAATTCTTCAAGGTTCTTGGAAGCTCTGAAAGTCCCCTCCTCACTGCCTCCAAAATAAAAGTTACTCACTTTCAGCTGTCTCAAGTATCATGTTTAAGGGCTGGGTTGTGACGGAGACTTGCTACCCGCTGTAGACAGCTGGAGGTCCTATTCTCTCCAAGCCCATGGCTGAAGTTCCCCCTATCTCCTCTGGAAAGATAGTTAAGGAAAATCCTTTACTGAGAACTGCTTGAGGCTAAAGTTGACAGTGGAATACAGCATTCTAGATGTGAGCTCTTATGAAATTCATTTATAGAGGCGACCAATATTATTCTCCATCACCAGGAAGGAGAGTTCAAGATGAAAAAGAAGAAGAAAACTGTGGGAGAGTTTTGGTTTAGACGTAGAGAAGGACTGGCCGAATATCAGGATGATTATGTTGGCTGGGGTAAATGACTAAGCTGCTGTAACAGAGTCCCCAAAATATGGTGTTCTCACAAAGCAGTCCATGGTGGGTAGACAGGCTCCTTTGTCCCACACAGACATTCAGAAATTCAGATTCTTTCCATCGTGCATCTCCACCATCCTCCAAAGCAGTGCTACTCAAAGTGTGGTCCACAGACAGGCAGCACCAGCAACATCTGGATGCTTGTTAGAAATGCAAATTCTTGGGCCCACTGCAGACGTACTGAATCCTTGTTTTAATCTCTGTTTTTAATGAGCTCTCCAGGTGATTCTCATGCATTAAAAAAGAAATTGAGAAGCACTGCCCTAGGGTATTGTCCTACATGGACAATGCTAGATTGGAGGCACTCCTTGCTCTAAATTGCAGGAATGGAAGGTGCCTGGGTGGCTCAGTCGGTTAAGAGGCTGCCTTCAGCTCAGGTCATGATCCCAGGGTCCTAGGGTCAAGCCCCACATCAGGGTCCCTGCTCAGCAGGGAGCCTGCTTCTCCCTCTGCCCCTCCCTCTGCTTGTGATTTCTCTCTCTCAGGTAAATAAATAAAATCTTTAAAAATTAATTAATTAATTGCAGGAAGGGGAGTAAATCTGGAGAAAGACACATGCAATGTTCTAAGGTCCAGGCCTGGAAGAGGCACATATCACTTCCATTTATACTCCAGAGACAGAATTTAATCACAAGCCATTCCCAGCTGCAAGGGGCCTGGGAGATACGGTACCAGATGGGCACCCTGGGTCCTGGTAACAATGCTAGTATTACGGGAAAAGGGGCAAATGGATTTGGATGGACAACCAGTAGTTTCTGCCACAGTAATGAATACTTCATTTAGTAAATTAAATCATAATCACATTCCTATGGTGTAAATGTTTCCAGATAACAGTATTTTTGTTGCCCCACCATCCCTTTAAATTTATTCTGTGGGGTAGGTTCTTCTCCTGCCTCTGGATTAAAAACTCAGGCGAGTACCATGACTTTTCTGGTCACCCTCAGGTAATGAGAGCACACCAACTCTGTCCAAGGAATTCTCCCCTCCTCTCTCCAGCTCTTTTCTTGGCATCTCCAACATCTTTTATAGACTGAGGGCGAAAGATCAACTAAAGATGCAAAACATATTCCCCACAATTTCCTTTCCTAATACTTGTGGTCTTAACATTTCGTTTTGAAATGTGATCTCTGTTGTCTTGAAGCCTCAGCTGAACCTAAACCAAAAAAGTTTCCCCTTTAACCTCCTGATACAGCAACTTTGAACCGTTGACAGCGTCCTTTCGGAGACCAGATCTGCTCTGAGCACACTCTGTGTGTTATAGAAAGACGCTGATAGCCAAGATACTGCCTTGTTTTTCCGGCAGCTGCCCGGATCCCTCTCCTCGTCTGGTTGCCGTCCCCATGGCTTAGCTCCAACTGAAGGTTCCCAGGTAGGATAAGAAAGCAGTGGAGGGACAGGTGGGTAAAGTGACAAGGAAATAAAGAGAGACCAGCTTGTATTCTGGCACGAGGATCACACAGCTCTTTATCAGGGCTAATTCTCCCCCAGTTTTTCTGGAGGAAGTTCCCTGCATCTCCACATTGCAGGAGGCAGCAAGGTGGGTTCTCACAACCATCCAAGAACCCTGTCCCTTCCCGTGCTAGAGTGAGTTATTATGCCCTATTCCTTACCCTCTCCCTCTGTCACGTGATCTTCCGCAGCACTACAATGGATGTCGAGCACTACACATCGATGTTGAACTTGGACGTGTGGTTTGCTTTGCCAACAGAACGTTAGTAGATGTGACGCAAATAGGAAATGAAAACTGTGACTGCATGGTTTCATTTGGCCTCGCTCCCGTGATTGCCAGGCAAGAGCACGCCCCAGGTACTCGCTGTCCCCAACCTCCTCCCCGCAACCTGGGCCTCAGAATGAAACATGTGGAACACACTTGAACCCAATCCAAATCCTGGCTCCTAAAGTAGAGTTCTTTCCCCACTCCACTCGACCAAAAACCCACCGACCCAGGAGCAGGAAAGAAAATACTGTTTTTTTGTTTTTGTTTTTAAAGATTTTATTTATTTATTTATTTATTTATTTGAGAGAGAGAGAGAGAGAAACAGCATGAGAAGGGCGAGGGGCAGAGGGAGAAGCAGGCTCCCCGCCGAGCCCGGAGCCCGATGTGGCACTCGATCCCAGGACTCCGGGATCCTGACCCGAGTCGAAGGCAGTCGCTCAACCAAAATACTGTTAAAAGCCACTGAGTTTTGGGGTGGTTTATGACACAAGAAAAAAAACTGACTGGGGCACCTGGGTGGCTTGGTCCTTTAAGCGTCTGCCTTCGGCTCGGGTTGTGATCTCGGGGACCCCCACGTTGGGCTCCCTACTCAGCGGGGAGCCTGCCTCTCCCTCTCGTGATCTCTCTTGCTCTCTCTCCCTCAAATAAATAAATAAATAAAATCTTAAGAAAAATAAAAAAAACTAATACTCTTCCCCATCCCTGTGTCTTCTCAGAGTTGTCCCCCTTCCAGGACCACCACAAATCCTATCCCCACTTGGATTCCTGTCCCCACTGCCAGGGCTCTTCACTGTGAGGGTGCAGATTCTGGATCTCCTTTGATGGATTTGCATTACATTTAGTTTAAGTATGTTTACTGAGCCTTTACTTAATGGTTAATTGCTCTGAAAAGGGATTTATATGAGGGCCTTGCCCTTTATCATATTACAAACCGAGGGAGAGACTCTAAAGTCTCTAGTAACTAATAAAGTTAAAATAAATAAAAAATAAACTGGTAAATCCAACCAGTAACTAATATAAATGGGCCCTTAATCAAAATCTAATATAGCTCCTTTCCTCTCCCTACATAAACCAATGAAGGGGATGTATACAAAGTTTTCATAAATGTTGTTTAGGCATTTATGAAACAAAAGATTTGGGGGGCAGCACTTCTTAGAGCTTTGGGTGCAGGATATTTTTATTCACCCCTGAAAATGCAACATTATTCTTTTTAATTCTATAAAAATCAACTAAAGAACAGTTGAGGCAATGTAAAGAAAAACAGAACCAGAGGGGCACCCAGGTGGCTCAGTCGGTTAAGCATCAGGTCATGATCTCCGGGTCCTGGGATCAGCCCGGTGTTGGGCTCCCTGCTCAGCGGGGAGTCTGCTTGTCCCTCTCCCTCTGCTGCTCCCCCTGCTTGTGCGCTCTCTCAAATAAATAAATAAAATCTTTAAAAAAAAAAAAAAAGGAAAAACAAAACCAGAAGACTCACACTATCAGCTATCAAGAACTATTACAAAACTATAGTAATTATGATAGCTTGGTATTGGGGCAAAGATAGGCAAATAGGGTGGAACAGAAGGGTGACTCTCACAAACCTGGCCAACTGATAAGACAAAGGTAGCACCGTATTGCAGTGAAGAAAGGATAACATTTCTAATAAATGGTGCTCAATCAACCGCTGGTCTTGTTATCTTTTACTCATCTCAGAGCTCTCTGTAGCATTAGAACAGGAACAGATGTACACCTATGATTCTAACCAGCTGTGAACTCTTCTGCTCATTTAATAAATAAACATGTAACAGAAAGCAACAGAAGAGGTAATAGTACACTTTTTCATCATCCCAAAATCCAAATATAGACCGGACTTTGAAGTAGTTTGCCTCAGAATGGCAGAATCAAACATCTGTCCTAAAAACCCATCCTTTTTTTTTTCCTTTGGTACACCAACGGAAGGTGCACTGGAAAGAAAACTGAGCAATCACTTCACCCCACAGCAGAGGGGGCCCCAGGGTAGAGAACAGCCAGCAGAGTTCTTCTCTGGATGGGAAAAACTCGTGCACACACAATTAATGCTTTGATCTTGTACTGTATCATTTTATTCAAAACCAATAAGCTTCCTTTTCTCTAGAAAAAGGAGACTGGGTTTGTTGTTCACATTTTTAGAAATCCTTGTTTGACCACCTTCAGCTCAAAGGGAGGGAAAGAAAAGTTTGGACATCAGGGTTACAAACCCCTCTCTGACAAGTATGGCCAAGAGTAGGGGAACTTTTGAACAGATGCTTTACCAAAGAGGATATACGGATGGCAAATAAGCCTCTGATGAAAAGATGACCAACATCATTAATCATTAGGAAAACCTGATTAAAATGACAATAAGATACCACTACATCCCCATTAGAATTGCTAAAATTAAAAAGACTGACCAACTGAAGTGTTGACAGTGTTGACAAGGATGTGGAAAAATGAACTCTCACACACTGCTAGTGAGAATGTGGAGTGGTAAAACCATTTTGGCAAACAATGTTCTAGTTTGATCCAGACATTCCACTTATGTGTTCACCCAAGAATAAAGGAAATATGTGTGCATACAAATGCATGTACACAAGTGTTCATAAAAGCTTGATTTATAGAAGCAAAACCTGGAAATAAGCCAAATGTCCATCAACATATAAGTGGATAAACAAATTGCAATATATCCATGTAAGGGGATGCTACTCAGCAATAAAAAGGAACTATTGATATACACAATATAATTGAAGCTCAAAATAATTATGCTAAATGAAAGAAGCCAGACCAAAAAAAGAGTATATAATTCCATTTATATAAAACTCTAGAAAATGCAAAAACCAATCTATAGTGACAGAAAGCAGATCAGTGGTTGCTTT